GCATATCCTCACATCACTCAAGCCACCGCGTGGCATATAAAGTATCTCAGGCCCTCGGCTTCATATCACTCGGCATATCCTCACATATGGACCTCGGCCTCACTCAGTCCGGAAATCATCATAAGCCCCTCAGGCATTTGTAAAACAGTAGTTCTCAGCCCAAAATACCATTTAGAAATATCATTTGAGTTTTCAAATCTGCATAAAAGCGGCTGAGTTTGTAAAACAATAATTATCAACAGGACTGAGTTTAAATATAAGTCAAAACAGTGAGGAAATAGTGATAAAAATTCCTGAAGGATTCAAATAATTGGCACGAACCCCAAGTATGACAATCAGCTCAAATCATGATGATAACAAATAAGTTTCAATCAAATATGCGTAAAATCATCAATCGGGATGGACCAAGTCACAATCCTCAGTAGTAAAAGACCCCGCGCTCATCATCCAGCACGTGCCTCACCTCAATATAGCACTACAAAGTTCAAATTCGGGGTTTCAAACCCTCAGGACATCATTTACAATCATTACTCACCTCGAACCGGCTAATCCTCTAGCTCGCGATGCCTTTGTCTCTCAAATCGACCTCTGAATGCCTCGAATCTAGCCACAATAATTCGATTCAGTTAATAAAATTTATAGGAATTAATTCCATATGAAATTCTACATTTTCCATTAAAAATCCGAAATTGCACTCAAAATTCGCCCGTGGGGCCCACATCTCGGAACCGACAAATATTACTAAATATGAGACCTCACCCAACCACGAGTCCAACCATACAAATTTTTCCAAAATCCGACAACAATTCGGCCTCCAAATCATCAAATCTTATTTTCAAATCTCTAGGCCCAAATTCCCGATTTACACCTCAAAAGCCGGAATATTCAATGATAATTCAATAATATTGAGTAACAATGATCATAAGGGACTTATCTCAAGAATTCCCGTGATTTTTCGCTCAAAATCACCCAAAACCCGAGCTTGGAAGTTAAATAAAATGAGAAAACTCGGACTGCTGGACTTATAACTGTCCAGAATTTTCGGGGGTACTGTTCACGTGTACTGTTCATGTGTACTGTACATGGGTACTGTTCATGCAGGTGCGGTCACTGTTCACACGTGCGAAAAATGCAGAAACTGCCCAGAAAATTATAGCAGCTTTTCTTTTCACTAAAAAGGCTTTAACTCCATCATACGAACTCAGAATTCGATGATTCTTGTTCCTATGAGTCACAAATAGTAATACAACATAGCCCTTCAGTCGAAACTCAATTCAGAGATCATTTGCTCAGTTCAATATCCATTTCGCTCGTTAAATAATTAACTCATGTTTCATGTCAAAAACCCAATCGCGACTTGATGAAATTAGACCAAACTTTCCAGATCAGTCCTACAATTCATTATCAAAATTTCGGAAGTCTCGAAATCAAATTTCGATCTCTAGAACTAAAAATGAACCTTTGGATCATTACATGTTTATGCTCAAAACGGCAAAATCTTCCAAAAACTCTTCCAAAACATATCCGAGCCTCATGGGATCCCGACCAAACATGCCAACACACCCCATAACATAATTCAAACTTGTTACAACCTTCGGAACGCTCTAAACAACATCAAAACATCAAATCACAATCGGATTCAAGCCTAAGAATTCCAAAACTTCTGAAATCCGAATTCGATCAAAAAGTCAACCAAATAACGTCCAAATGACCTGAAATTTTGCACACACATTACAAATGACATAACGAAGCTACAGAAACTCTCGGAATTCCATTCTGACCCTCGGATCAAAATCTCACCGATCAACCGGAATTCGCCAAAATATTAACTTTGTCAATTCAAGCCAAATCCTTCCACGGACTTCGAAAATGCATTCCGATCGCGCTCCTAAGTCATAAATCACCCAACGAAGCTATCCAAATCATAAAATTTCCGATCCGAGCTCATATACAAATAAGTCAACTCTTAGTCAAACCTTTCAAATTCGAAGATTTCAACTAAGACTGTTCCTTCAAATTCATTCTGATTTTTCATGTAAACCAAAACCAACGATCTACATAGTCATAATACGTTACACGGGGCAAGTCATGCCCAGGAACTGGCATCAAAGTGCAAAAGTTCAAAACGACCGGTCGGGTCGTCACACTTAGTAGATAGCATGCAATAATTTTTATTTTAATTATGACATAAAATACTCTCAACTTAATGATATATGATTTAGAAAAATATAATTTTGAATAGTCAACGATTTATTAAAAAAATTTAAGGATTTACAAGGTTAGTTACACACAATTACATAAAGTTATATTAGGCGAGCCCAGTACGCTGGGCGTTGGGCATGTCCGAAGCGTAAGCCCCGACGGCCGAGGCGTAAGTCTCACGGAGCTAAGCCCCACACATGCGCTTATAATATTATTTGACAAATATCTTATTTAAATTTTATGCACCAAAGATTATCCATAAAACTCATTTTTCAATTTGTTTATGTTTTAAAAAATAATAAAATTATTTAATTTAAAATATCAAATGATATATTCAATTAATTAAAATTTCTAAAAACATAATACAAATTAAGAAAGTGGAAGGTGTGAAAAATGGCAGAATAAGTAGATTATTTTTGGTTCCTGAAAGATGAGTTGGGAACATATAGAATGTACTAAAGTTTTATCTATAATAAAATACAATTAGTAGATTGTTTTTGGCTATTATAAAATTATAAATATAAAATATTGAGTAAGGCTAATTGATATACGGAGACGTTGAGATGGATGTTGTTGTCAGTAAAAATATTTTTTTTTTATAAAAGGGTATAATATAACATTAAAAGTCATTTTAAAAAAAATGTGCTTGTTGTTGTATAAAATAATCGTTATATAGAGGTCTAACTGTATATTATAATGTATAATATTATATAAATATTACTTGTGATTTCCAATTATTACTTTAACTACTACATATTTATATCTTATTATGTTGATAAGTTATATTTTTAATTTCATAATTATATAATTAGATTTAATAAATTGAAATAACAATATAGCTAATATTAAGATAATTCTTAATTACCTAGTTTCTTTTTACTAATTTTTAGGAGGGTTATCATGAGTTTAGAATAAGTTTTCCTCCAAACTTTCCCCCTCTAAATTTTTTGGCAAAAATCAAAGCCTTAATTTAGAGAGATTAGAGGAGAAAGAAAACCCTTCCACTACATATCAAAAGAGAGCCAAAAATAGATTAAGGTCTCATTTGTTTGCACTTAATGGAGATCTGAATCTTAATCATTCAGACCTCAGACATTAAGTGCGTTTGTTTTTAAAGTTTGAATCTTAATGATTCAGATCTTAATCATTAAATGTGTTTGTTTTTTAACTCACAACCACTTAATGAGTCTGAATAGGTCTGTATCATTAAGATCTATAAAAGAGACTTAATTTCATTAAGATGTTATCATCCATATTCATTAACTACCGCTCACCATCATCACCACTCCCATCACTATCATTCTCGACGACAACCAACACTAATCCACCTCATCTATCACAACTAACCACCACATCACTATCAACAACCATAGCTGGCACTGCCCATCATTATAAACTACCACCACCCACCACCATCTTTCTTAATCACAACTACCACCACCATCACCCGTTATTATTAATTATTACCACCCATCACCACCATCCTCAATCATAATAGCTACCACTACCAATCACCACTAGCTACTATCCTAAACTACCACCATCAACCAAATCTACCACCAACCACCGGCTTTAGTCGGCATTCACAAGCACTACCGTTAGCCATCACCACCAACAACTATCATATTTTAAAAAGCTATATATTTTAGTGATGGAATATTAGATTTATTATTATTTTATTTGAATGTTATTTTTATTAACTTTCAAATAAACGTAAATTTTATATATTCAAATGTTAAAAATCAAACAGTCTTAATCATTTAGTATTCAGATCTTAATACACATCTTAACATCGAGACGTGTATTCAAATGTCTTAATCTTTATATTCATATCGTGTATTAGATTCACACATCTTAAGGCACTCTCTATTTAGCTGCTTCCGCCGCGTCATCAAATACCATATTCGCCAATTTTAGTACCCAATTAAAAAAGATAACCAATAACTAATTTAATAACTAATTATGTCATGTGTGATTCAATTTTAGATTCTATTATTCTGGCATTTCGCTTGGTTCTTTTGTGTTCTTTTAATAATATATAGATATACAGTTCATACCAACAAGGTGTATGAAATCTATACCGCTGCGATCTAAGTTCCTCGTCGCCCAAAACCTAACTGGTCAAAGGTAAGGAACTCTTCAAAATTTTCATCTTCCGGGTAGGTATTATGCATTTTGGTTCTCACATACACGGTGGATTATTTGATGGTGAATTGGTCTAGGAGTTATTGTGGGTTTCCATTATGTTTTATTTTTCTGTAAAAAGTTGTAGATTACTTCAAATACTCTACAATTTAGCATTTCTATCTCGATTTAGACATTGTTTTGATGATATAATAGTTGGTAATTTCTGGAATTTCTATTCACTTTAGTTTCAGTTTTCTCTTTTATTTTTGTGCTCTTTGTGTAATGGGTATTCTGCAATTTTGTCTCATTTCTTACACTGATTTATATTTCTGATTTGTTAGTATAATAATTAGACTATGTTGGATTTTTGGTCACTATTTGCTTTAATTTTATTGCTGGTGGATTATATGCAAAATAAAGGAAACTCTGGATCAAGAAATATTGTGAAAACTAGTTCCCAAAATTTTCTTGAGAAGCCAATGAATCAAATGAAATTAGAACAAGGTAATTATGTTTGATGGAATCAATGTTGGCTAATAAGAAATTGACAGTCACAGCTCATGTATTGCTCTTTATGATCCAAAAAAAGTATAATAAGTACGTCATGTAGGAGGTTGATCTTGTATAGATTGTTTTTCAACTATGACTAATAAGGATTATTCAATCAAATTTTGAAAGGTCGAATAATACTCTTAAGAAAAGATTAAATCAGCCTCTAATAAGAATTTAAAAGTAAGAAGTTAACTTGGACTTTCATAAATTTTTTGGTAGTAGTTTACAAATACACAAAGATATGCTTTTCTTTAATACCATTCTTATCAGTTGTTCTTTGTCCTCTAATATTATTGTCGCTCCATCTTATAAGATTGTTGTCCCTGTTGCATTTACTATTCGCATTCTCTTCTTTTTTCAATGAAGTGTATTCACATTTTCTTCTTGTGAACAGTATTGTTCAGGATAGCTGGGTTGACTTAAACTGTACACTAATCTGGAAACACAATTAGGTCTCGATTTAATGTGCTGTATCGTTTCACTTCTGGATTTTAACCTCTAGAATCGATCTAACAAAATTAAGTTCTTTACAGTTGGACAAAGTTACTTCTATCCGTGCTGAATTGAAGTGGCTCATTATTATTGCCAAATTATGATGACAAATACAAAGGTCTTGCTGCTACGTACGATATCGAGTAAGTATTGTTAAGCTTTATCACTAGGTGGTATATGCCAATGTTAGTTAATAATGTTGCTATTTCCGTTGTTTAAATCAAAGTTGCAGGAACTAGCTAGTAAGAAGAGCAAGTACCTATTATCCAGAGCTACGACCAATAGAGCATCCTCTCTTGAAGGTTAATTAGCTTACTGATTGCTATAGTATTCTTTAAATTGATTATAGTCTCACCCTAAATATCAGCAGAAAACAAAGTATTATTGTCCCTTGCTACAAACGAGTAAGAAGTAATCTTTGGTCCTACTTTAGGAAGCATTGGATCAATCAAGGATCTTCTGATATTTAGACACACAAGAGCCCTAAGCAGTGTGTTTTTTAAAAATTTGGTTTGATTCAAAGTCTTGGCTCTTATTGTCACACTTTAAAGCAGATATCAACTATAATGTACGATCCACTCTCCTGCTTCATTAAGTCCTTAGAAATGCTAAATGAATCATATCTTGCATTTGCATTGACAAATAGCTGAAAGATTTACAATAAGAAGTGTAAATGTAAAGTTATGTGAGAGGGATGTCTACAAGTTCTAAAATTTCAGTGTTGTCCCAAAATTCATGCTGACAATATAACTTTTAATATATAGTACATTCTGATTATGTTGACTTTTCATATAGTTTTTTAGGTTCTTAAGTTGAAGAATCAAGAAAGAAATGGATTGTAAGCTAGCAAAGTTGGATATATGATGAGAATAAATTTAGAAGGATATCTGTTGTTCATCCAACTCTAACTAACTTTCTACCCCTAGCGTAGGGGTAAGGTATACATATACACTACCTTCCCAAACTCCACTTGTGGGATTACACTGGATTTTTGTTATTGTTGTTGTTGTTGTTGTTGTATAAAATCAATTCTAGAAAATATGTGATTTCTTTAAGAAAAATTTCATATGACAAGTAAACTTAAGCTGTTTCATGTGGACATAATTCCACCATTTTCTTAACTTTTTTTTTTATAATTGCTATTGCAGCTTATGGAGGAGCACAGAAAGCATCCAGATCGATTGGGACATGAGTGACTATTTTTTTCTCTTGTAAAAGTATATTGATATGTTTGAGTAGAGCAACCTTTTAATAGTTTAATTTATTTTGAATGATATTGTTGAACCTTTAGTTATGTCTTCTTGCTAATGTATTGAAATATACATTATATTTTATTATGTTTGCATAGACATGGAGAAGTTCGGAAAATGTTTTATCTCAAATATATACAAAGTATATTCAGATTTCATCAAGAAATACATAAATTATACCTTGAAATATTCTTAATACATGCATCGAATATATGCACTTTTTATAGGTCATATATACAAATTTATATAAAATACAAATTTAAAATGTATATATAAAGAGAAGAAGCAGAGTGAAGGAGCGAAAAAAATAAAAAAATAATGGGGTAAAATATTCTGTGGGATTTGAAAAGATCTTGCGTAAATTAAGAAACGGACAAAGCACCCCCCCCCCCCTCTTCCCCCAAACAAAAAAAAACCAACGTGAGAGAGAAAAGTTAGCTATTAAATTCCCCATTTAATGGTGTCCCTTAATTCCTCATCACATAAATTTTAAAATATGCTAAATTTGTAAAAGGATCTGCCATTTATGGAATAAAGAAGAAGTGATGCAACTAATAAAAGTAATATTAAATAAAGGATCAGCCAGGTAAAAATCTCCATATATATAAAAAGCATTGATTCTTAGCTACAATATATAAATTTGTGTGGCTATCAATGTTTGTGGCAAATTCTTTAATTTGTAGCTATGAAATTTTTAAATTTGTAGCTAAACATATATAAAGTTGCCACCAAAAAGGGTATGGTTATACATTTTCACTTTTTATAAAAAATTAAGAAAATCTTTTGCTACAATTCTATATATCTCATGGCAAAAAACGTTAAATCTTAGCTACAAAAAAATGTTTGTGGCAAAAACTTCAGCTCATAGCTACAGACTTTTGAATTTGTAGCTAAACAAACCCACTATTGCCACGAAATTAAACCATACAAGTAGCCACAAAATCTGAATTTGCGTGGCAAAGAAGTTATATCTTTTGCTATAAGTATATTTTTTCGTGGCAAAAGACTTTTATCATTATAGCTACAACACCAAAAATATTGTAACAATAAGTATTAGTCTTTAGCCACGGACTATATAAAGTCCGAAGCTAATTTGTAGCTACGCAACATTTTACTACGAATGCTACGAAAACTTTTTTTGTGGCTAAAGTGTTTAGCCACAGAAATTTTCATATTTAGCTATGATGTATTTCGTAGCTGTATATGCATAATCTTGTAGTGAAAATTCCTTACCTAGTTTTTCTGGTTTCGCAGACTTTTAAATAAAGTCAAATTCTCCTCGATTTGGGATTTAAAATAAACCGGTGACTTAGAACACCATAAATTATTCTAAGTGCCGACTCTGAAAAAATAAATAAATAATCCCATTGTGATTAATGCCACTTAAATTGGAAAAACTCCTTTATATTCCCCTCAGGTAAAAATGAGGTGTGACAATTGGTATCAATAAAATCCATGATGAAAAATGATATACTTCTGTTTCGATTTGATTGTGAGGAGGGTAAAAATAAAGTCATACAAGGGGACATTTACCACTTCAACAACAAACGGTTCATTGTTAAGGAATGGCACCAGGACATGGAGTTTACTAGGAGGAACTTCATTCAGTTCCAATATGATTAGGTTGCCCGGACTAGACTTCAAATATTGGAGTGCTAGATGCTTGAGCAAAATAGGAAGCTTGGTTGGGAAACCATTGATGGTTGATGAGAATATAGAGAAGAAATTGGGGCTTAACTTTACTAGATTATTGGTGGAAGTGAAGATTGGGGCTCAACTACCCGAAGAGATAAATTTTAGGAATGAGAAAGGAGTTGTAATAGAGCAACAGGTGAAATATGACTGGAAACCATCAGTATGTGATACTTGTCATAAGTATGGGAATACAACTGATGTATGCAGAAAGAATAAGGTAAATAACAAGATAAAGGAAACTGGGAAGGAGAGGAAACTCATGGGGAGAATCCTCAAAATTCTAAGGAGAAAGAAGCTGAGATGGAAAAGGCAACAGAGACTATGCAAGTAGATAGAAATAAGAGCAATTACAATACTGAATCAAGGGTTGCACAACATAAGACACAAGGGGAAGAATTCAAAGTACAAGTGGAGGGTGCACAAAAGAATGGATGGTGGGTTCGACCTTCAAAGCGTGGGAAATCACATAAAGTAGGAAAGGATGCAATGGTTGTAGCAAATTCATTTCAAGCATTGGGCAGGGAAGGTACATCAACTTCAGGGGTACAGAAATTGATGGAGTCTGACATAGGGATAAATTGTTTTCAAATACTGGAAATGATTAATCTACTAAGCTGGAATGTAAGGGGTCTGAATGGTCTTAATTAGCAAAAAGAGGCTAAACTCCTTAATAAAAATAATGTAGGCTTGATTGGTCTTTTAAAGACCAAAATAAAGGTCAATAGAGTACCGGAGATAACAAGAACAATGTTTGCAGGGTGACAATTTTCTACTAATCATGAATCTCATTACAATGGCAGATTTTGGGTGATATGGAGACCAGATCTCTATAATGTGACTATCAAAGGGAGCACAGCTCAGGCTATCACTTGCCAAGCTACCTTTGTCCCTTTACAGTTAACTTTTCTGATAACTTTTGTATATGCTTATAATCTAAAAGAAGACAAGAAAGAATTACGGGAGTGTTTTTGCTCTATTGGCCGAGGTAATAATATTCCTTGGATAGGTTAGTTGACTTTAATGTTGTACTTCATACATAGGATAGAATGGGGGTAATCCAGTAATGCATGCTGAAGTAGTTGATTTTTCAAATTGCATATATAACTGTGGGTTATAAGAATTGCCAAGCATTGGGGGTCAATACACATGGAATGATAGACAAGAGGTAGATAGAGTATTATACAAGATAGATTGGGTATTTGTCAATGATGAATGGATAGATGTAATGCCAGGGTGTATAGTCAACATTCTACCAGAGGGAATAAGTGATCATTGCACAATCAGAGTCTTAATTATGCAAGATCAACTAGTAAGGAAGACCTTCAGGTATTATAATGTGTGGAGCACACATCCACTCTTTTTGGAGATTGTTAGAGAGAGTTGGAATGAACAAGTTCAAGGATATGCAATGTTCAGGGTGATCAAAAAGCTGAAATCACTCAAGCAGAAGTTGAAATAATTAAATAAACAACATTTCAGCAATATCCGAAAAGATGTCCAAGTGACAAAATCCTTACTATTAGAAATCCAGGGCAAACTACAACTGCAACCATAGGATTAGAATCTTCAGGCAGAGGAGAAAACGTCAGATCTGAGATATAAGGAAGCCTCTATTCTAGTATAAAAGTTTCTTCAACAAAAAAGCAAGGCTAATTGGATTAGACTTGGTGATGATAACACTAAGTATTTCCACCCAGTGATCAAACAAAGGAAGCTACAGCAAGCAGTAATACAGATACAGGATAAACATAGGGTCACTCAAACAGACCATAATGTGATAGCAGGGGTTTTTGTTAAATTTTATCAGAAGTTACTTGGTGAGGTGGGGGGATAAGAAGTCATGCGTATACAGGATTCCTGAGAAATGCAGAACAACAAATAAATCTAATTAGAGTTTTCACTGAGAAGGAAATCAAGAAAGCTATGTTCAGCATATATATTAATAAAAGTCTAGGTCTGGATGGGTATGGCAGTAGTTTCTTAAGAGATACATGGACCATTGTTGGCAAGGAAATCACAGAAGCACTGTTAGAGTTTTTCCAAAATGGGAAGCTCCTGAAACAGATTAATTCAACAATGATAGCATTGATTCCTAAAGTTAATAGACTAGTGAAGGCTAGTCAATTCAAGCCAATATCATATTGCAATGTGGTGTATAAGTATATTTCAAAGATGTTATGAAAGATATTACAGGATGTTTTACCATTGGTGGTGAATGAAACACAAGCTACTTTTGTTCAAGGGAGGCCAATGATTCAGAATGTATTAATATGTCATGACTTGTTGCGATACTATAAGAAGAATACTTCACCAAGGTGTATGATGAAAATTGACTTACGAAAGGCATATGATATGGTTAGATGGGAATTCATTAAAGAAATGCTACAAGGATTTGGGTTTCCTAGAAGATTTTTAAAGTTAGTTATGAATTGTGTGACTTCAACAAAGTTTTCAGTGAAGATGAATGGGGAATGGTATGAATATTTTGAAGGAAGAAGAGGGTTGAGGCAAGGAGACCCACTGTCTCCTCTATTATTTGTCATAATTATGGAATATTTCTCAAGGGTGATGAACAAAATGGCTCAACTTCCGAATTTCAGATTCCATCCTATGTGTAAAAGTTTGGGACTGATGCACCTAATTTTTGCGGATGACCTAATGATATTTTGTAAAGGCAATGAAACCCATCAACAGAGTCATGGAGGCACTTCAGCATTTCACCAATAGAACTGGCCTTCTAGCAAATTTGGATAAATCTAACATCTTCATTGCAGATGTGGATGAAGAGACTAGAAACAGATTGATTATAAGAACTGGCTTTGCAGCAAGAGTGTTTCCAATGAGATATTAGAGGCTCCCACTCTCTCCACAGAAATGAAATAAACTAGACTGTTGTGAGCACGTAATTTTTGCCTCGCATGAATTACTCCTATAAATCTCCAAAATTAGGATTTTTCTTTTTCTTTTGTTTTTAGGAATTAATTGCTCAATTTTCATGTTTGTTTACATTTTGTGTGCATAATTAATTTTATTTAAATCATGAAAAATAGTAAAAAATATCATGCACTGCATTTAGGATTTAATTTTACTATTTTGATTGGTAAATTAATTTTTTTTATAAGATATAAAAATCACAAAAATAGCTCATTTTGCATTTTTAACTCTTTAATTTTGAATTTTATAGTTTTCTTTGAATTTAGGATTTAATTAATTATTGTAAATACTAGGGTGATTAATTAATCTAATTGGGTAGGTTAATTTAGTTCAAAATTTAATTTCGGTTTTATTTTTAATTTGAAAAAAAAAGAAAAAGGATTTGAAATTGGAAAAGAAAAAGAAAGGAAATAAGAGAAAAATCAGATTTTTGGGCTTTTCCATCGAATTTTTCCAGGCCTAAATGATTA